GTAGAGGAGGAAGATGGTTGAGAATTCCATCGCAGATCGGTCTCTTGATCTTGGATCGATGATCGCAGATCTGGCAACGTGGTCGTCGTTGCTGCGGAGAGAGAGAGAGATCTAATCTGATTAAAAAAAAGGTAAACCAACGAATTTGAGTCAGGTTTTTAAATAAAAAGGGTGTAATTATCTTTTAAGTGATCAATATACGAAGGGCCAACGAAACTGGTCTTCCTCTTTTTCTAAATCCAAAACAAAATTCAATTCCTATGTAGTAAAACTAAAACAGAAATAGTGTTTGTCTGAAATACTAATTAGTAAAGATAATTATGTCTAATACTTAATTTTTTTATAAAAAAAAGTGATGGATTACAGGTAAGGAAAAATTAATTTAGAGGGAAAAATCCAAATTTACTTTTTTTTTTTTTTTTTTTTTTCTAGGTTTGTTAAAATTTGTTTTGCAAACAAAATTGGTGTTTGGTGGGGTAATTTTTGGAAATAAGAATATGAAACCAATGAAAATAATGAATTGGACACTTGATAATTTCTATAAGAGTGCTGCTATTTCTACCTACCTGTCTTATTTTTCCATCCACCTTATCTTTAAAATTTTAAAGATTAATTTAGAGTGGTGATTTCCACACTCCTTTTTCTCCTATTTTATCCACTTATACTCCTTTTTTATAACTAAAAAAGAAGTGTACGTGGATAAAATAGGAGTGGGGAAATCATTGCCCTTAATTTACCCCTATATAAAATAACTTCTAAGGACTTAAGGAAAAACTCTCAACACACCTTTAACCTCCGCAACCTACAACGTCTTATCAACGTTCTCATGTGCTTTCGGGAAAAAAAATGTGTACTATCCAATATTCAAACAAACGCAATAAGAAAACATGAACAAATGCTCAAAATTGTGAAAATTCAAAATCCCAACATTTCCTGAGAGATTCGCTGTTTGGTCACTAAGAAATTTTAAAAAAAAATAAAAATCAATAAGCTCTAAGACCCATATTTGGTTTGTAAGGGTCTTTTGTTCCAGCAACCTGACGAATGGGCTTGGGCTGCCGTAAGAGGAAAACGAACCAAGATTCCCCAAGTGTCTAAGTTCAAAAACCAGGCTCCCAAAAGAGTTTTTGAAGAGCTTGATGTGACTCTAGAAAAACACTCTCAGGTTCTTTTCACCAATAGCCAAGTAGACATAATAAGTTGATGAGTGGCTTAGCTTGAGTAGCTTGTGGCATGGGAGCTAAGCTTTCGCAAGTTTAGCAATTAGAGAGAGAGAGAGAAGCGTGAGTTTCTTACAAAGAACAAAGGGTTAAAATGGAACAGAGGAAGATTAGGGAGATTTCTTTCTTAGAGAAAGGAGAAAACAAACAAGGAAGAAGATTGGGTGGCTTGAGTAAATTCTCAGTTGCTTGACAAAGCTTGGTCAGGCCTTAGATGGTGATTTTGTTGGGTAGAAGAAGGTCCTTTTTATAGGCACAAAGAATCCCTAATTTTGTCTAACCTCTTTCTTCCTTTTTCTTTGCTTCTTTCCATTCAATTCTATTCGGTGAAATTTTCCTATCCAAGGCATCTAGGTAAGGAGCTCTTTGTGGTTCTAAGATTTTGGCACAGCTGGTCTTCTCCATAGGGGTGAAACGTCTCCCACTTTCTTCCTGGTTTTCCTACCGGAGCTAACAGAGAAAAGAAAAATTGGTAGAGTATTTTGTCTAATGGGTATTCATCCTCCCTTCATGGATTTCCTTTGGTCCCTGCCATGGCTCTTCGTTGACCATCTTGGGATTCTGACGAGGGTGAAGCACGATGGCAGATTTTCCTACAAGTTGTTGGGCTGGGCTTGTGCGTACAATATTGGTTTATTAACATATTATTTCCAGCGCCTAATGGGTTTTCGTCAAGTTGCAAGAAACAACCTTTTAATTTTGGGCATTTTATTGATGCTGGCTTTGTCTAAGTGCTATGGCAGACTACTAGATATCCTCGTAAGGCATTAGATCATTTTCTCCCCTCTCTCATGCTAACCCATGTGTTTGGACTCAAGAAATGAGTTTGAGTTTTGAGGCTCCCAAGCAGTCCAAAACTTCCATTTCTTGGCTCATCAATGGGCCTCATGAAAGTTCGTTACCATCCATACCATAACCCACTCAAGCAAGCCCCAGGCATTTTGCGTGGTTTGGGCCCACTTAAGCTTGTAGCGTGACTAGGTGTAATAATAATGATTTTTTCCTTGGCATTGCATGTTGCTTGGCGTGCTTGAATTTTGTCGCTTTGAGGAGGGATAGGACACTTGACGGGATAATTAGCTTGGGCTCATAAAGCCAGTGCTTATTTCAACTTTTAGCATGAGAGATTGCATATTTATTTGGCATGGCACGTGGTCGTGGCTCGTGCAAGCGTGAATGACGAATTTTGCATGCTCCGAATCGGGTCTTTTCTTAATAAGGTGTGGGCCAGGAATTTATTTGGGCTCAACTCTGGATTTTTGGGCCTCAACAGGTTCTATTAAGAAAAGTAAAGGCCAAGTCAAACTCAAAGTGAACCAAAACTATTGGTTCCATATTCTTGTTGAATAAGATTTTATGGCGACCTAAACATGAAGTTAGGAGAAGACCACATGGGTAGGACGCATAGAGGTTTCAAGTGCGGAGAGGCAGTGGTCAAAGGAGCTGAGAATGGAGACGACTCTGTTAGTGATGGTTTGGCTCTTTCGCAGTCCATCTTCTTCTTCCTCCTCATTCCCTCTTCTTCTGCGTTGTTGTTTGAGAATTGGAGAGAGAGGGAGAGAGATTGAATTTAATTGCATTATTAATTAATTAAAATGTATTTTAGGAATAATGGTGGGTGGAAAGATAAGATTATGTTTTTTCAAATTTACATGGTGAGTGTGAGTATAAGGTAGGTGGAAAAATATGACAAGTGAGTGGAAATAGCAGCACTCTTTTTATAAATAAGAATATTAAACCAATCAAACAAGTTTTTATTCTGTTAATTACAACCTATACAATTCATGTTCACCAAGATTTGCACAAGAAAGAAAGTTTTTCAAATTGCGGGTAAATGCGGGAACCCTAAATGTAGAAGTTCGGGATTCATTTTTCAAATTGTACTACATCTAGTAATTTCAAATATATGCAAATGAAGTTTTTTTTTTTTTTAATTTTTTTTTTAAAGAAAGAGAATTCATTCATAAAACCAAAGACGTACGAAGAGCAACATGATATAGTAACCTCGTTAAAACCTTCATAGGACAATCTCATGGGACAAACTCCAAGGGGGAAAAGAGTACCACATGTGTTATGGATTAACGAGATAGTCTAATTCAGGTCACTTTGGACCATTACAATAAAAGAACAAATCAAAAACGAAAATTAACACAAAGACCTTCGACGAGAACCGCAATTGAAGACCAACACAGTAGACCCACATAAAAAGACTGCAGAAACCCCAAATATTAAACCCACATGAGAGGACTGCAGAACATCCCAACTGTCAACAGAAGCCTTATACGAACAAAATCATAGTGCTTTGACACCCACACAAACTGCAAGGCATACGATAGCAAAAAGCATGAGAGAACGAGGAGGGGGAACACATAAATAACAGTAAAAGGACCCATGTGAAGTGCTACACTTCAACTCAGAACCTGACAAAGAAAACCTCCTATGACCAAGCATAATTCTTTGGTCGGCGCAAAGTAGAGAAGAGCACCACATCCCAACAACTACTATCAGGTTCGCTACTACCACCCCCGTTAAAATAAAGACAAAACATCAGCCATTAGGAATCACAACTCTCCCGAAGAGAGACCCAATCCAACGTCACTATTATTGCCGCTGCCGAGACAAAGACAATATCAATCACCTAGAACACTGCAAAAACAACCAAACAAAACAAACAGACAAACAGACCTAGATCCAAACAAATCTAAACTATATGGGGAGGGGAGGGGAAAGAGAAAGAAGAAAAGAGGAAGGGAAAAGATTGGATAAAAAGAAGGGGAGATGAGGAGAGGAATGGGAAGATGTGCGGAGGGGAGAAGGGGCAATGGCCACCTCCCTCCCTTAACTTCCTTGCGGTTGGTTGTCGACAAGGAGAAAGTAGACTAGGGTGTGGCTAGGATTTTTTTGCAAATTGTTCGACTGTCATGTATTTTTGCAAATGTAGTTGTTTATGTAGTAAATTTAGCATTTCAAATCCCCCCACCCAAATGATGCATTAAACCAATCAAAATAATAAATTTAGACAAGTTATGATTTGATTAAATACAAGCGTATACATGTTATTTCAAGCGTCTTTTTTTTTGGGGGGGTCAAAGTTAGGAACGGGGAGGGGAGAAAACTCACACACATATTCATAGGGACTTAAATCCAAAATCACTTGAGAACACACTAAAAATCTCAATCAATCCAACACACACCTCATTATGTCATATTTTTCTACTAAGAATGAAAACTACATATATTACACGTCAAGATTTGACTTTCGTCTTTCTCCCCTACATATGTTAATTCAAAATGTGGTTTTTCTTTTTCATTAACATCAACTAGAACTCTATAATATTATTGAAGACGATAATATCTTAGATAAATGCATGATAAATAGTAAATTTAATTACAAGGACATTCTATTGTTTATTTTGTAATTTTCTTTTTAGGAAGAGGAGGAGGAAAACTCACACACACACGTACCATGGGAGTTCGAACTCAGTCTCACTTGGGATCAAACCAAAAGCATTATTTTTGAACATCATCAACGCATAGTCATTTTCATTTTTTAAAACTGAAGGTATCTTATCATTTTTACATTTTTTTTAATGCTTTCTTTGGGTACCACCAATAAGTAGTAAGCAAGAGTACAAAAGCCAATGGAAATTTTTGCAGCATTTTAAAAGCTAAACCATCAATATACACACCACCAGTCAAAAGATTACCCTTTTTTTCTATTTGAAGAAAAACCAGCCAATTTAGCAGTTCTTGTTTTGCTTGCCACAATGCAAAAGGATCTAGCGCAGCAACACAATACAACAATATATATTGTAGGTCCTCCCGAAAGAAAACATCTTGCATGGGACATGTCCTACGGCCCCCTCTCACAGTAAGGTGGGACCCGCAAACATGATCCACCTGACCGTGAGAGAGGGTCACATAAGACCTTCATGGACAAAAGAAATTCTCTCAGGCATTCACCTTCTAAGGTGTTTACAAAAGCAGTGAGATGTTAAAACACTAGTAATGCTATGTCGACGAAACACTAGGGGGGTGAACACGTTGGTATATCTGTACAGGCTTGGCGGATGAAAAACCTCAACACCACCTCAAAAACAAAATTTCTGCACCATTAGATATCATACTACGTTATTGTGAGATCAGCGTTTAACCTTAATAGTATATTGACTTGATTTCAAAGCAGATTTTTTGGACTTTAAATTCTTGCCCTTGGGGCAGAACTTGTCATCATCAGAATCATCACTTCCGTCCCCAAGCTTCCGGTTCCGCTTCTTCTCAGCTCCAGCACAAATAACAATCTTCCCTTCATCCTTCTGTTCCACCAGCTCGCACTTCTCCTTCGGCTTCCAAATGAAAAGTGACCTGAACAAGTAACATGGTTACTGTAGGGAATTCCAAGTTTGGTAATCTACATTTTAACAGAAACTAATTTCCTATACGACCATAAAAGAAAGATCCTTGGTTGTCAAACTGAACAAACTCCAAGTTATATTAGTGATGAGCGCAACAGTGCTCAGACCTTGAACTACCAGATGCCAAAACATCATCACGCGGATGTAGCTTATTCACTGGACTGATTGTAGTGATGTTTGGATCCATGACCTCAGCAACTAGTTGTCCTGTGCTGACATCTATAAAATCAATGGGATGCAAGGCAGCTCCGTCATAGTTCTCACTTATATAACGACCAACCACTGCAAGGGACTCTGACGAGTCCTGAACCAAAAGGCATATTAGATCTCCAAAACATGAAACAAAAGAACTTAGGGCAAAAGAAAAATAATTCAAGCCGAAATATGCACCCTTGGATCCCATTCAGCTTTGAAAGCAGTCAGATGGCGATTAAAGTCATGACTGTGTACAATCTCTCGGCTTGGTGAATCCATATTGCCAAATATGGAGTCCCATATACGAAGACGGTTGTCCTGTGAAGTGCTAAGAATTTTGCTGCCAGATACTGGAGAAAAATATGCAGAGTTAACAACACGGCTGTGTGCAAGGTCATAAATGGAAGAACCAGCTTCGATTCGACGAATGTCCCATATTCGAGCCTAAGGAGTAGAAACCATGTCACTTTAAGTCTTACATATTTTACCATATGGGAGAAAACAGACAGGAAACGCATGTATTTAGGCTGAAGAGAAAGCCAGACAACCAAGCAGACCATAAATAATTCAAATAATTAATTCAATCAACAAGCTTACAAAGTGATCATTTCCGCAACTCAGGAGAAGGTCTGGTTGAACAGGATTGCAGTGGAGTCCAACAACTTTGCTACCTTTCTTATGGATCAAAATTGGCTTCCCAGTTGGGTCATTAGAGCGAGTATCAACCCTAACCATAAAATAAATCAATAACCAAACAATATATCAACCAACCCCCAGAAGAAAGCAAAGGAAGCACCTCATATCTTACCAAATGATCTATGGAACGAATATAACTATTATGGTTGCTGGACAAAAAACTACAACTTCAGACAGAGGATGGGGAAAGAATGGAAATACATGTTAAACGATGGATCGCTGTACCAACGAACTAAACAGTTCATTGGTTGCTTTCTCTTTATGTGATTGTATATCTCTTTATCTTAATTAAGAACATAAGATAAACAAAAACAGTACTTACAAGTACAGAAAACCGAAGTTATCAGCAACAAGCACAGCACCTTTTTCTGCATTGATATCCATGCCATAAAGCATCCTCCAGCTGTTTCGCCCCTACAGGTAGATCACATATATAACTCATTCTACCAAATTAAATTGAAAAAATTGGTGCAAAAATAAGTTAGTCTTCCTCCTATGTTCACCAAACACAAGCTAGACCTCAATATTTTCTATTATCCTTGTAGTCTGTATAAGAAAAATAAGCTGTCGCAATACTGATAATAATAAAAATAATGATATTACTCCTACTACTACTCCTAAATAATAATAATTATTATTATAATTATAATAACGATAATAACAATAATAATAGCAAATACTAGCATCAACATTTGTACATGTACAAGAAATTTATCCAATTGAGCAATAGACTCAACAATCATCAAATATCAACCTCGAAGTAACAAACAATTAGCCCAAAAGAAAACATTTACATATGGGCATGATCATTGCAGCTAAGGTAGTTAAGCACTAAGATGAACATTGGTACAACAAACTTTTCAAATCAGGCAACAGACACAAGGATGCGACAATTCGAGAAAACAAAGTTATGTATGCATATCGAAACTATTAACTACGGTAGGCATCCTTCAAACTTTTTTGGATTTCAAAAAACACCAGGTTATTGAAGCTCAGACGCTCCTCCTTGACGTACATCATTAACAGCGAGAAAAGAGTAAAAAATGATTACCTGCCATCCATCAGGGTTAAGGTTCATCAGAGATACTGAAATTCCAGTCTCCAAATCAGTGCAACTAATAGTTCCATCTGAGGATGCAGCATAGACTGTGTCATCACTTGCAGGTTTAAACCTGCAAGAAGTTTAATGCAGAAATTTTTGAATAAGTAAACAATAAAATCAACATAAATTAGTATATGCATGTGCATACAAACAGATATTCTACATTTACAAATGTGCATATATAAATTCATATCCAGGTAGAGAACTCACTTCATGTTGTTGAGTATACATGAGTGTACATTTCCATAAACAATCTTTTCGTGTACTTTGACAAAATCCCAGACTCCAAGTTGTCCTTTCTTTACAACAAAGCAAGAGGAAGGACAGAGAGATAGAGGGAGGGAGTGCCAGGGTTAACCATCATCAACTAATCACACTCTTGAGTAAAATAAACCTAAATCAAGTCACAATGAAAACTATATGCGAGACTTACCTTATCCCCAGATAAAAGAATGTTATTTTTTGTTGGATGGAACTCCAAGCTAGTTACCCGTCTACTGTGATATCTGATAACCGCACAACTTACTTGATCTGGGATTACATATGCTGGCTTGATCTATAAGAAGAAAATAGAAACTATAACAAATATACCAATGGAAACAGAGAATGTCCAAAACAAGACGGTATAGTATCCCAGAAATAAAATATATACAAATCAATGGTAGAACTTTATGAGGATCCTGAAATACATCAAGGATCTATAACAATAACAAAGTGAATAACAAAATTACTCATCTTGGAATTTAATCTCTAAATGCATAAATTTTATACACAGAAACAATGCCAAGAAACCAGGAAAATAGGGGCAATACAGAGATAACAACCACTTCAAGTTGCAAGAAAAAGTTAAATATACT